TATACAAGAACAGGTCCATTTACCATTTACCATTTATTGATGATGAGTACACAGCTAAAAAAGTATTGTGGTCTGGAGGACAGTTCGGCTCTCCACATGCCTCTTTTGTCTCCACATGAAGCAGTAACCAGCTGTTAAATCTGCTCTGCTTTGTGATGCCAATCGCAAATCACTTCCACAATACAGAACGTACACATTAAGCCACAGAACAAACACACTGAGCAGCTGTTCTGATGACACACTCAAAGTTAACTGAACAAGTTGTCTTATGTGTGAACATCCAGTGTACTGCCAGGCTACTGATGCATGTGTGTACCATCACTGTGCAGTCAATAAAACTAAATGGAGACAAATGTGGATAAGGTTCCCTTGCAGACATGGTGTTACTTTATGAATGAGGAAGCGGTGATGACAAAGCAGTAGCAATCGTATTCGAGTACAGCCATGTGTTTGTGGCTTGTTTTTTTTAAATTCTATTTCACCTTCTTTTCTGCGGCACATACAGACTCTAAACACAAACAACACCCTAGTCGCAGGTCAATGCCACAGGAAGTGTCTGTAATATTTCCCGGCATCACATTGGCTTGTTTGTTTGTTTGTTTTTTTCTGAAGGTCCCTCAGAGCGGCGACTCACTAAAGAGCGGAAGGGGACAGCTGAAAGCCTGTTTAAATGAATAAGTGAATGGAAAATTTCAAACAGAGAGATGAATTGCTGGGAAATGATTGCCCTGATCTGCACTGTATAAGACAGATTTCAAATGGAAACCCAAACAAAAGGAATGGATGAATGATTTAGCTTGTTGTGGTTCTGCTGTTTTTGCAGTGTTTATCAATTTTGTTTTTGACTAATGGCAGATATTTCTCCATTCACCAAAAAAAAAAAGAAAAAGAAAGACAGGTTGGTTTAAGACAGGAGTATAATCGTATAATCTGTTACCTGCTTGGACAAATGCATGTCTCGCCAGGCATTCCTCGATCCTTACCTACACTTTAAAAAGCGGAGGCTATCCTCTCCTTTTTTCAAATTTCTCAAAACTTCTCATACTATTTGTTACCAAATAGTTTGACATATTGAGGAATATGCTTATTTGCTTATTCAACAAATATGAGTTTCCACAATGCCAAACGATTCCTTTAAAAGTAAAAATAGGCCATGCAGATCCACAAACATTCTGTTTATTGGAGACTGTTTGCATTCATTTATTGCTCTCATTCGTGGGAACATCACATACCATAACACCTTTACATGAGGCCCAAATCTTTTTCAGCTTGTTTTCAGCGCATATATTTGCACCATAAACTGTCCTATGAAAAATCTTCACTCTAGTGTTTGCTTAATCTCGTTAGAAACTGGGTTCACAAGAGGAGGCTTTATGATGTGGTCCAGAAAGAAAAAATCTTTAAGAAATCAAATGTTTCTGGGTGTTAGCCACTTACCATTACTCAGTTTTGGTTGGGGTGCCAATATTAAGTTATTTTAGAACTGTGATCAACCCACAAAGAACCTTAAATTCACAATTTGAACCAAAAGTGTGAGGATCTGTACTTGGACAGTTGTCTTTTTCCCAAGGCTCTCAACATTTGTGAAGTGGTCCTGTTTGGTCTCTGTGGGAGTCCGTCTGGCAGTGTGCATATAGTGGCCTCAGGTTGCTCATCTGTCTGATCCTCCTCTGGGGAGGAGAAGAGCAGCCTGCCGCAGGCCCAGCCAGATGCTCACTGTGGCTGTTAAACAATAACCACTGGAGTGTGCTCCCCCCTCAGCAACACTGTGATCTGTAACTACTCCCAGGGGGCTGTTTAGACAGAGGTCAGTCGAGCCTACAATATGCAAACTGTCCCGAGATTTAAAGTCATAATCTGTGAAATGATTTATCTGTGTTTGTTATGGCTGGTGTTCATTACTATAGTGTTTTTTCACTACTTAATATCAGAAATGTTCAATGTGCAGACATTGTGTCTAGAGCTTTTTGAGGTTTTTCTTTTGATTTCCTGCTGGAGTTGGGGTCTGTGTATTTAGTTATGTATGCACGATGTGTCCACCTACTTTAATTTTTTAAGGACCACCTGCTTTACTTTTACTTTCTTTTTTAATTCAAGGTGTCTGATTTCTTAAGTGTCAAGAAGCAATCTGAATGGAAGTAGTGCAGTGTGCACCGTCCGTGTGTAGTTATACCTCAGGCAGTACTAAGTTACGCAAGCAGCTGGACACTACACAAAGAATACCAGGTGGTAGCCCTGATTTTACCAACTGACATAGCTACCCCATAAAACTAGCAGCACTGTGCTGCAACAGTGGTTCTACCATTAAAGTGGCCTTGCAACATCTACTTTGACAGACATACAAACCCATATGCTCCACTGCCAAACAAACACATTAAATATGATCAAATGTTTGATCACTACGCTACTGTCTCATCTGCTTGCTGTCTATGAGCTGGCTTCTTGGATATCACCACCTAATCTTTTTATGACGGGTGTATATTTGTCATTTCCTTTGTATTTATGTACATATTTACATAGAGTATTTGGTGGAGTCCGCCACCAACACTGGTAACCAGGAGCACTTTTTTTCAAACAGCAAACATGATTCTTTTTTGTGATAATCTGAAGGATTATTAGGCGCAGTCTTCAGAGTCAATCCACAGCAAGCACACGTGTCACAGCACATGCCCTGTCTGCGAATGCTGAATGCTTTCCAAGTGTTTTGGTTGTGTCATTAGAGAAGTGCCATTTTTTATTTAACAAGCACATTTTTTCAGTGCTGTGCTACATACTAGAAAGAGGAATGCTTTCAGGAACCAAAGCTGTCGCACGGCATTGCAAATTATTTGTTCTGACTTAATTTGTGTTGTGTGTGTCTGTGCTGTCACGTGTGCTCCTAATTTTAACCTAAAACATCCTTGAAGCCCTGTAGATTCATTATCTTATTCATTCTGACAGAACTCAGTGGAATAATGAACCTTTTAAAAGTGTGTCTGTGAAGTGTGTACTGGAGAGAGGTGGACTACAGTCAGAGGGGAGCAGGGTTATCTGGCTGAGCTGAGACACATTTCACAGCCATGAATAAAATATAACAGCAATGCTCTACAACAAAAGCACATCCAGCAGTTAAATGACTGCGACTTGTAGGTGGTCCTTTATCAGTAGAGCTTGCCCCGGAGAAATCACTGATAATTAACTTGACGTGAATGGCTTTGTTTTTTTCTGCTATACCCCAGTGGTGGGGTTGCGAAATGGCAGGCCCAGACAACAACAGGACTGATATTTGACTCTTGTCAACATCACAAACACACACTATGAATGTACCTGCTGCCTTGGAGATCATCACAAACAATCAGTAATGCCAATAGCAGGGAGCAGCAGGTACTGTTATTCCCAGAGACTGTTGTTTGTGACTAAAAATAAGAGGTAACACACAAGTGGACAATCCTCTCATATGGGAATATCAGAGTTTGGTTTATAAGGGTACAGTATAAAGGGAGATATGTTGAAAATACCACACTTCATACTTTTATTATACCCATATGACACATATAATACAGCACATTGAAATAGCTTGAGCCAGAGCCACATATCAAACCTTCTCATGTACTTTACTGTCAGGAAGTTTCAACAAATATAACAAAAAGTTATTTATAAAAGTTTCCTTCTGCAGCTTTAATGAAGATTTGTTATTACACTAACCAACCAAAAAAAAATAAAAATTGTCATAATGCTATCAGCAGACTGAGCAGCATAGTGCTGCCTTTTCACCTAATTTGCACACATAGTACAGTACATTTTGTAACAGATCATGATTTCCTAAAAATATGTTTATTTCCAAACAGTCTGCACTACAATGAACAGTTAGTATATTTGTTTGTTGCTAACTTTGGCTTTCGTTTGTTGCTGGACAGGTAGTGTACAGTGGGTTTATCAGATCTT